CCCTTGTCCTGATAGGCCTGGAACTCATATAGACCAGGTTGACCTCAAATTCACAGAAATTCTCTTGCCTCTGCCTCCTGAGTGCTGGAGTTCAAGTCATGCGCCACTTCCCCAGGCTGCCTTCTGTAGTTTGACAATCTAATAAGAGTACATTTTTTTTAAATAAGCAAAAATATAGCATAAAGATATAGTAAAGGGAGTGACATCATTCAGCAGACTTTTAAAATTAGAACACAAATTTTGCTAAAATAAAAGCATAAAATATTTAATATCTGTAGTAAATCTTGTTAATGAAAATGGAGAGAGGAGAGGAGATTAGAGATATTTCTCATCCTACTGTTAAAAAAAAAGAGTGAGAAAACTTTCACTGAGTTGTATTTTTGACAGTTTTTGACAGCAGGCTAATAAAATTTCCTGATTGGCCATTTTACTTCCACTGTAATGTCTGTTTCTTTTTTATTTTTTTTCTCACTATTTTAGTGATTTTTTGTTTTATGTGTATGAGCATATTGCCTGCATGTGTGTTAAGTGCACCTGTGTCTTGCAGTGCCTGTGGAGGTCAGAAGAGGGCGTTGGATCCCCTGGAACTGGAGTTACGGACAGTTATGGATGGTTGGTAGCTTCCATGTGGGTGCTGGGAATTGATCCTGTGTCCTCTGCAAGAGCAGTCAGCACTCTTAACCTGCTGAGCCAACTCTCCAGTCCCTAAAATGTCTGTTCTTGATACCGAATTTTCTAAGAAAAAACAATCTTGAATACAATAAAGTTAACTTCTAAATTTATAGCTTTGGCTGTCCTAGAGCTCATTATGTAGATCACAGAGATCTTCCTGCCTCTGCCTCATTAGTTCTGAGATTAAAGGTGTGTGCCATCATGCTTGGTTTAAGTGTGAATTTTGAAAAAGTTTTAGGATACTGAATGTTGTATATGCTGTGAGTTTTACATTCTTATAACCTTTGACTATGAATTAAGTTGTATTTAACAAAATTACAGTTCAAAAACACACTTAATTCAACCAGGATAATTAGTTACATATATACTTACTCAAAAAATAGATAGTTCAGCCAGGCGTGGTGGTGTACGTCTTTAATCCCAGCACTCTGTGAATTCAAGGCTAGCCTTGTCCACATAGTGAGTTCTAGGCAAGTTGGGGCTACAGAAGGACCCAAAAAGAACAGAAAAAGCTAATTTAGCCAGGCATGGTGGTGTATGCCTGTAATCCCAACGTTTGAGAGGTGAGTGGCGGAGGCAAGATCAGGAATTCAAGATTATCATTTGTTACATAGCAAGTTTTAGTTGGAGGCCTGGGCTATACCAGACTGTGTCTTAAACAAATAGAAAACAAATTTTAAAAATTTACATGGGGCATAGGGGCATACACCTTTAATCCTAGCAGTCCAGAGGCTGAGGCTGGTGGATCTCTTGAGTTCAAGGCCAGCTAGGGTTGCATAGTGAGACAGTCTCAAAAACAACAACAATAACAAAGAAACAAACCAAAACCAGAATTGGGCTGGAGAGATGGCTTTGCTGGTTAAGAACAGGTTTTACTCTTCCAAAGGACCCGAATTTAGTTCCCAGCACCTGGGTTGGGCAGCTCATGACCACCTGAACTCTAGCTCCAGATTTGACATCTTCTTCTGACCTTTTGGGCACTGTACTTACATGCATTCCCCCCCCACCCCATAAATGTAATTAACAAAAATTTTTTTTAAGTAACATTCTTTTTGAACAGTAAATCTTCAGGATATTATAGACTTTATATATTTTAGTAATTTAACTTAGAAGTTGGCAAATTCTTACAAAAACTAAGTTTTAAATGTAGGTCTTTGTTTGAAGACTGTCTCTTTTAAAAGGTAAACTTTGAGGAAGATTCTCGTGGGAAGTATCTTGAGCTTCTAGGATACAAAAAAGAAGATCTGGGAAAGAAGGTAAAGTCCTGACAAAGTTAAATAACTGTCCTAAATGAAATATTTATGTTTCATTTTTTAATAACGTTCCATACAGATGATCTCACATCAGTTAATAATCATTTAATAAGAATTTTTATTTGGTTATCAAAATTTTCAAATGCAGAACTTTACTTTGTACTTGGGTTTAGAAGCTGCCAGAGCTACCTTTAATTCAACCTTGATCTTCAGGAATAATTTTGCTTTGACAGATAGATTGTAAGTCTCTAACACTGGAGTGAGCACTGAGGCTTCTAATAAGGTGTGTTAAGCTCAGCCTTGTAAGAGGTAAGATAGAAATTATTAAGTAGCTCTCCAACTTTGTAAAACATAGGTGATGAAAAGTAGGGTACAGTTTCAGGCTATCAGAACTTTCCACCCTATATGTGTTAATGCCCTTATCACATAATTCTCAAACTGTATATTGCTGACTCAACTAACAAGTAATTAGTAAATGTTTTGGAACAGGAGTGAATTATACTGAACCCTAGTAAACAGAAAGCCTAAATAGTCTGCTTAATGGTTTTAACTTTTAAAAAAAAAAATCCCCTTAGAAAAGAAAAAGCACATAGATTTTTAGTATTCTCAGAAAGGCTCTTAATTTCAGTGTTGACATCATCAGTAGCAGTAAGAACAAATTATAGAAACTTTGAAGGTAAGGTTTTAGTTCCCTGACCCTTTACTGTTTTTTGGCAGTAGTTGAAGTTTTCTGTGGAATTGTATAGTTACAGTTGGACTGGGATTGGACCAGGGGTCTGTAGGTGCCTGAGGTCACCTATCGATGACCTCACATGGATCTGGAATCCCATTACATCCATACTGCTAGGACCTGTGTGTCTTTGTTTACTCCTTTAAAATTGTTATGTTTAATTTCATTATTAGCCTTAACTTCTTTTTTTTGTTGTTGTTGTTGTTTTTTGAGACATGGTCTCCCAGTAGCCTCAGCTGGCCTGGAACTCGCAGTGTCACTATGTAGACCAGCTGGCCTTGATCTTGCAGAGACCTGTCTGCCTCTACCTCCCCAGTGCTGGGATTAAAGGCATGTGCCACCATACCTGGCGCTAGCCTTCACTTCTTGATGCTATCTATGACTTTCTCAGGTTTGCAGACAATTAAAAAGTTTAACTTGCATGCCTGATTGCAAAAAATTAGGAAATAGAATCTGATTGTCAAAATACTTCTCTAATAGTAATTTCTTCCATAGTGAGTACCTGAAGAAATTTAAAAAATATATTATTTATTAAATGATTTAAAAAATTTGTAAAGGTGTTTGGACTGCCAATGTGTTTACTGGGGTATGTGTCTGTGTGTATGTGTGTGTAGTATAGTGTGTAGTCCCTAAAAATTTATTTATACTTATTTAAAAAACAAAGTAGAGGGACTGGAGAGAGAGCTCAGCAGTTAAGAGCACTTCCAGAGGACACACATACATTTGAGATAACAACCATTTGTAATTCCAGTTCTAGGGGATCCAACACCTTCCTCTGGCCTCCGCAGACTTTGCACTACACTTACACACTTACATACATGCATGAAAAACAGTCATACATGTGAGATAAACACCAGCAGCAACAAAGTAGAAGAAAAGTGTTTCTTTGAGGTTGATTCTGTGATTAGACAGCAGAGCTGTCAACAATAGAACTCTATGTGAATGGAACTAGAAACAGTAAGAAATAGTTCTGCGTTCTTTCCTGAACGTTTAAACTGTTTGTGATAAGAATGTGTGTGGATTTTTGCTGAGAATGGAGTAAGAGCTAAACATTGCTGTGTGCCCTGAAATAGAATTCCATTTAGTAGGTGAATTGTTATTTTTATTTCAGATTGCTTTGGCCTTGAACAAAGTGGATGGCTCCGATGTGGTAAGAAGTTTTTTAAAAATAACTGCCTTCTAAAAGTTTGGTTAGATCATGACAAAGAGGGAAGGATAATTTAAGAAATTTATGTTTGTGCTTCATGGTATGAAAAATACCAATTTAGCTGGCTGGAAAGTATTTCTTTATGTTGGCATATTTGAATTTTATAAAAGGAAAAACTGAATCAGTGGCTGTTCAGATACTTAAGGTAAAGATTTTTAAGTCAAGTGATATTTCGTAAAAGAAAGGGAAGGTTTTGGTAGTAAATTTTTCTTTGCTTTTCTTTTAATGTTGTTTCTTGAATAAATTTACTCAGTGTTGCTTCTTATGATCAAACTAGCTCTGGATGTTGTTGGTTGGGTCTTGTCTTCCTTGTTACTAATAACCTTTTAATGCTAAGTTCTCCAACTTCCTCCGTGATTGTTTTGTGTACCAAAGGCTCTTAAAGACTCTGACCAAGTAGCACAGAGTGATGGGGAGGAGAGCCCTGCTGCTGAGGAGCAGCTCTTGGGAGAGGTACTTGTTTTTTATATTATATTGGACAACTGTGTGATAACTGTGTATCTCCCATTAAAATATGGAAACTTTTTTTGACTGTTTGTTGCCAATTAAGTTTGAATGTATCATTTTCTTAGAGATGTTTAGGGTAAGAATTTCTTTATCATGACTAACAGAAGCATCATCTCTGAACTCTAGGTCTTTGGCCCAGCTTCTGGATTGTATGGCTTAAAATAATATTAGATGTGAGATTGACTTAATTTAGTCAGATGACTGAACTAAAGAGAAATTTTATTGAGAAGTTCAGTTGACTTGCATGTTTAATTAATGCTTTTTCTTGGCACATTAATTTGTATAGTCCACTATCGGTGATACAGGCTCTGGCTTAGTCCCAAGCTTGGGATACAAGTAAAGAGTAGTTCACAAAACTAAATTGATCATTATGATTTACCACAAATGTGTCCTAGCTGTGCTTTGAAATTTCTATCATAATCTCTAAAACTAATTGAAAAAGAGTCCTTGAACACAAAGTTGTATCATTAACTTTTTTCCTTTTGATTTCCTGAATTCTAACCACGAATAACTGATTTTACAATTTACTTTTCTTGCTTTCTAACTTTATTTCATCTTGGAAAATTAATCAACAAGTTCTTATTTCTCATCTTTGATTTTTTTCGTTGCCCTTTGTGATGTGGGGATAGCCTGACTCTAGAATATTTTGTGTATTCATTTAGTATGTTATAAAAATAATTCATGAATATACTAGACTACTATAAAGTGATTACTAAATATATTTTCTTTTGAAGTCAATCTCCTAGCATTTAGCAAGGAAATAAAGGACATAGATAAAAATCTTACTAAAAGAACTACTTTTGGAGGTACCTACACGATAATGTAGACACTCAAATCTATGTTCATTTATGTACAAGTACATTAACTACATATTATCAGATAAAAAACCATTTGGTAATGCACTCATGATTAGTAGATAATGAAAATAATGTATTTAGTCAAATACTAGTTGTCATATATTCTGAAGACTTGAAAAATTGTGCTTAAAGGGGGTAAAATCTTCCCTTTTTTCTTGGTGATATTTTTTACTTACAATATAATAAACTATATGTATACTTTGCATATGCATATGCTTTTTGACATAATAGCTTATACATTCAATATTTTCAGTTCATAAAAAATTATACATTTTAACCTTATATTTTAGGAGTTCATAAATAAGGTTTATTAGTTATGTATAGAAAGCAGATATGAAAATAGTAAGTTAAAAAGAAAAAAATTGTTTTGTTTTGTTTTTATAGTACTGGAGACTGAACTAAGGGTATTATGTATCGTAGGCAAGTTCTTTACCATTGATCTACATCCCTAGCCCTGAAAAGTATTTTTCTGCGAATTTGTCAGCAAATATAATCAGATGAATGTCTCTGATTTATTTCTTAATAAGATGAACTTAAGTTGTCACTTCAGTTGGTCTTTCTGAATTTTTAGATTCCAAAATGTTTTTCTTTAGTTGGAGAAAGGGAATTAGGATTATACTTACTATTTTGTAATAGTCAATTAATTTTTTAGATGAGGCTGTGCTGTACTATACACTAAAATGACTTGTCTCAAATTCAGATGTTTAGGCGACACAAACACAGAAGTAGATATTTTATTTCATGTAGGAGAGTTTTATTTTCCATTAAAAAATAAAAGATTTTGGAATGTTTATATAGCTTTTGCAGGTTGATTATCTGTAATCTGAAAATCTAAGAAATTTTGGATTTTAGACCATTTTTGAAAGCAAATTTTTAAATTAGTTACTCAACTTATAGTCTTTATAATAGAACTGTATGTCTTTTTGTTAGACTTATGTGTTGTTCCAAATACTACTAATTTACAAGAACATGAAACATATACTTGAGCTTTAGTATATGCAAAGATATGCAAATACTGAAATAATCTGTTTATATTGCCCCCTCCTTTTAAACTCATTAAGAATTGCAGGACATGACATGGCCTCATTCCCTTGTGGGAATTGGTTCCCACCCCCTTTGAGGGTGCTAGAAATCAAACCCACTTGTTTAGGCAAGTGCTGTGTAACCAAGCAACATCCCCAGTCCCTGTCTCTGCATTGCTTGTATACTAAGGACACCAACTAATTTCTCTTCATGATTTAATTAAAACCTTAGAACCAAACCTGTATACACAACCATTAAAAGCATGTATATTTTGCATGCTTCAAGCCACTCGGAGTTGAGATATCTAAGAAAAAAAATTCTACTTTTAATAGTAACTTTTAATATTGTAATGAATATGTACACTTAAGTTTAACATTTCAGATGATTGGATTTTATGTATGTTGGGTTATGGAAATTACTACCTCAGGAAGTCCAAGATCCTAGTCTGAACTTGGATATGAAAACTTTTTGGAATAACTTGATGTGTTATCTACTCAGTAGAAGAATAATCATATGTAATTTTTTTTTGCTATTAAATTATTCACAGTTTCATTTTGGTTAAATTACTGCCTTTTAAAAATTCTCTTTAGCGCATTAAAGAGGAAAAACAAGAATTTGATCTTCTACCCTCAGCTGGAGGAACATTTAATATCTCTGTTAGTGGGGGTAAGTAATAGTTGGGTTTGATTTAAATTTCCTCTTTTAGCAAGTTTTAAAAAATATATTATTTATGGCGCTGGAGAGATGGGCTCAGTGGTTAAGAACACTGGTTGTTCTTGCAGAAGACCCGGGTTTTGAATCCCAGCACCCACCTGGCAGCTAACAACTGTCCATAACTCCAGTTCCAGGGGATCTGACAGCCTCTTCTGTCTTCTATGGGCATTGCACGACACAGGTGCACTTACCTACATGCAGGCAATACACGCATATGCATAAAATAAAAACAATTAAAAGATATTTTGAAAAAAATTTACAAAAAATACATTATTTGTATTTTATGTGTATGAGTGTATTGCTTGCATGTATGTATGTAAGTGCACCAGTGTCATGCAATGCCCATGGAAGTCAGAAGAGGGTATGTGAGCCCCTGGAACTGGAGTTACAGATGGTTGTTAACTGCCATGTGGGTGCCAGGAACCAAACTTGGGTCTTCTGTAAGAGCAGCCAGTGCTCTTAACTGCTGAGCCATCTCTCCAGCCCCCTTTCCATTTTTTTAATGATTTATTTTTATTTTAGATGTATAAGTGTTTTGCCTATATATATGTCTTATATGTACCTGATGTGTGTGCAGTGCCTGAGGAGGTCAGAAGAGGGTGATAGGGCCTCCATATGGGTACTGGGAACATAACCCGAGTCCTCTGCAAGAGCAACAATTGCTCTTAACAGCTGAGCCATCTTTCCAGCCCAGATTTAAATCTCTTTTAACTATTTGAGAGGAAAATTAGAATTTTTTGAGGAGGTGGTATACTCGGGTTTTTTGTTTTGTTTTGTTTTTAAGATAGGCTCTCTCTATGTAGATGAGAGTGGTTTTGAACTCATAATTCTTCTGCCTCAGCCTTCTAGGTGCTGAGATTTCAGGTGCACACAAATTGGCATGACTAGAAATGCTTTGTCACAGGTGGTAGAGGGTGAAAAAGAACTTAGTTTTCATTTAGTATATGTAAACAGTGCCTCAAGATGGGTTAAATTCTGACACACACACCTAAATTATCTTTAATAATCCCGCTTAAGCAATATTTAAATAGTACTATTGTGTGTGTGTGTGTGTGTGTGTGTGTCTACTTCCATAACTTAATAAATGCTAACAGCCTGCGTTAGAAATTGAATCAACATACAGCTGGAGAGATGGCTCAGCAGTTAAGAGCACTGACTGCTCTTGCAGAGGACCTGGGTTTGATTCCCAGCACCCACATGGTGGCTATGAACTGTCCTTAACTCCAGTTCCAGGGGAATCTGAAGCTCTCTTCTGACCTCCACGGCATTGCATGACACGGGTGCACTCACATACATGCAGGCAATACACTCATATACATAAAATAAAAATAATAAGTATTAAAAAAAAAAAGAAATTGAATCAACAGGTTCAATTTGTGTTCTCCATTTGCCTCTCTGTAAAAACTGATGTACATACCTGGTTTTCTTATAGTTTTTGGTAGCAGAACCTCTATTTAATTTGAATGTGTGTTTCCTTGTTGCAGATATTGATGGTTTGATTACTCGGGCTTTGCTGACGGGTGATTTTGAGAGTGCTGTTGACCTCTGTTTACATGATAACCGCATGGCTGATGCCATCATATTGGCCATCGCAGGTGGACAAGAACTCTTGGCTCGAACGCAAAAAAAATACTTTGCAAAGTCACAAAGCAAAATTACCAGGGTAGGTTGTCTTAAAAATAAATAAACATGACATACACACACATATTCTTAAATTTTAGTTTTGTTTTTTTCAGGTCTCAATATGTAGTCCAGGCTGTCCTTGAACTTTCAGTCCTTTTGCTTCAGCCTCTCCTGAGTATTAGAATTATAGGCAACATATTTATTATTCTGATTATGAAACCAGTACCAATTTAGATAGTTGAGATGCAGAAAACAGTAAAGAATTCTTAAAAACCTACTCATGACTCTTTGATCCAGAAGTGGTTGTTTATGCTTTAGTGTGATTATTCTAGTGTTTTGATTCCCATATGTAATTTCAAAAATTTAATTTTTTTCTTTAGCATAGAAAATTTAAAGTTAAATTTTAGTGTCACTTAATTTTGCCAATGTTATTGCATATCTTTCCATACCTCTTTCTTCTTAAAAATATTTTATTATTCTTGCCGGGCATGGTGGCACACGCCTGTAGTCCCAGCACTGAGGAGGCAGAGGCAAGAGGATGTCTGTGAGTTCAAGGCCAGCCTGGTCTACGTAGTGAGTTCCAGGACAGCTGGGGCTACAGGGAGACCCTGCTTCAAAACTACAGGGAGACCCTGTCTCAAAAAGACATATATATATATATAATTATTTTATGTGTATGAGTGTATTGCTTGCATGTCTGTGAGTACACCTGTCTCGTGCAATACCCTTGGAGTTCAGAAAAGGGCATCAGATTCCCTGGAACTGGAGTTTGGACAGTTGTTAGCCACCACGTGGGTGCTGGAAATCGAAGCTGGGTCCTCTGCAAGAGCAGTTAGTGCTCTTAACCACTGAGCCATCTCTCCAATACATTTCCATGTTTCTTTCTGTGTATGTGTCTATACACTTTGTTCTGACAGAGTCAAGATCATATTCTCTCGCTTTTTTTTTTTTCTCTTTTTTGAGACAGGGTCTCCGTGTAGCCCCAGCTGTCCTGGAACTCACTATGTAGACCAGGCTGGCCTTGAACTCACAGAGATCCACCTGCCTTTGCCTCCTCGAGTGCTGGGACTACAGGCGTGCGCCACCATGCCCAGCTAAGATCATATTCTTAAATATGTGAGTCATTATCTTTATAGATACCGTTACTTATATCATAAGTCTTTTTGTGTATCCCAAAGATTATTATAAATTTTAAACTATTCTATGATACTTTATGGTCAGGATGTATTATTTCTCTTATTTGAAAATGTTTAGGTACATTTCAATGTTTTCTTCAAGGGCAAACAAAATTGTTTTATACAGTGAATGAAACCTTTGGTATGCCTAAAGATTTGTGCAGTATTTTGATTATTCAGGTGCTAGAATTGGAATTTCTGGCAGAAAAAATTTTTAAGCTTGATGTTATTTTCCATATCTTAAAAAAGTAATTTGCTAGACCTGGTGGCACATGCCTTTAATCCCAGCACGTGGGAGGCAGAGGCAAGGTCCATCACTATAATACCCAGCTTTGGATGTCTACATAGTGAGTTTCCCCCCCAAAAAAAGACTAAACAAAGGAAAAAAAAGAACGTTTTCAAAATTATTTTCTATAAAATTTTACTATTGTTGAATCCAGCCTTGCCTGCTTCATTGCTTAGCCTTGCTCACGCCCCTCTATCCTGTTATCTTTTTGCCACACTGGTGCCTTTCAGTTCTTCACTCCTGACTGTTTTCCCTAGGCCTGGAATGCTTTTTAATTTATTTATTTATTTTTAAATATTTTGTTATTTTTATGTGTATGAGTGTATTACCTGCATGTATGTGAGTACACCTGTGTCATGCAATTCAGCGAAAGAAGAGGGAGGGCTTCGGATTCCCCTGGAACTGGAGTTACGGACCGTTTGTAGCTGCCATGTTGGTGCTGGAAATCCAACCTGGGTCCTCTGCAAGAGCAGTCAGTGCTTTTAACCACTGAGCCATCTC